TCATGGCACCCCTCAATTTTTAAGAAGATGTGACACTAGAGATATTTATTCTTGTTTAACTCGATAGACATGACAACAAGACGAGACAGAGCAACAATAGATTTTGGGTCTCCCGCCTTCGTTCTCGACTTTTTTAACCATCCCCGTCGATATGAAAAATTAAATATTCATTTTCGTCAATTTTAAATTTCTTCATCCTTACTTCTTTGTTCTATATTATTTCTAAAAATATAATTATATTTATAATAAATTAATTTTAACATTTTTATGTATTATTTTAATATATCAAAAAATATTTATAATTTATAATTATTATTAATTAAGTATATATTTTGATTTATTACGTCATATTAAAATATGTATATGTGAAAAAATATTTAATCATCCTTTTCTTTATAAGAATATAATACTTATAATATTGTAATTATTATATATTATAACATTTTATTCAAACATCTAATTACATGTATAATTGTTATTTTAGAATATTAGTAAATATGAAATATATAAGATATAAAAAAATATTTAATAAGTTAATTCTTATTTAATTAGTGTAAAATAATAAAATTTTAACTATCAAATGTTTTTAATCTTTCAAAATTCAATTACTTAATAAAGATAAAATTTGATATATAACAAATAGAAATAACAAAATTCAAAAAGTATGATATAACAAAACCTAATAAAAATAAATTAGAAAAAAATAATAGAATGTATTATTAAGATTGATGTAAAATATTAAGAGAGATATAAAAGAAAAAAATTATTAACTTTGTATATATCAAATTGGTTGAAGAGATTGAAAAAACCAAAATGATTAAAGAGATTATGGATATCTAAAGGAGTGAAAGGTAAGAGAAAGAGAATTATTAGGTATTTTTTTTAGGAGGACTAATAATAGTAAGATTTTCACAAATTAGACATGAACCAACCATACAAAAGAATATGACACCACCTTCAACAAAAAATCTTAAGACATTAGATTATGGGTCTTTCTCACTAATGACTTACTCAATTTTTCTATTTCTATCTAATGTGGACTTCAACTCACATTTAAATTCTCAATAATCTCTCGTTCAAATGTGATTTCCTTTCACATTGGTACACCTCCCCTAAAGCAAAAACATTTCTTAACCGTGAATATCTAGTAGTGACCTTAATTGATGTTAAAAATTAAATATTCATAAATTAATTTTAACATTTTTTATGTATTATTTGTATATATAAATAAATGTTTATAATTTTATATTTTTTAATTATTATTAATTAAATATATACTTTAATTTATTATATTTACATTAAAATATGTATGTAAAAAAACATTTAATATTTTTTATTTATACGAGTATAAAATACTTATAACATTGTAATTATTATATATTATAACATTTTATTCAAACATATATAAGTTAATTATTTTTTTAAGTTGTTATTTTAAAATATTAGTAAATATGAAATATATAATATATAAAAAATATTTAATAAATTAATTCTTATGTAATTAGTACAAAATAATATAATTTTAAGTATCAAATATTTTTAATCTTTCAAAATACTATTGATTTATTAAGATAAAATTTGATATATGATAAATATAAATAATAAAATTCAAAATATGACATAACAAAACCTAATAAAGGTAAATTAGAAATAAATAATAGTATGTATTATTAAGATTGATGTAGAATATTAAGAGAAAAATATAAAAAAAAACTTTGTATATGTTAATTGGTTGAAGAGATTAAAAAAATCAAGATGATTAAAGAGATTAAGGATATGTAAAGCAAGGAAAGATAAGAGAAAAATAATTGTTAAGTATTTTCGAGGGAGATTAACAACAGGGAGATTTTCACAAATGTGGCATAAGCCAACCATAGAAGAGAATATGACACCACCTTCAAATCAAAACCTTAAAGCATTATGTTACGAGTCTTTTTCACTAATAAGTTACTCAACTTTCCAATTTTTATCTAATGTGGGACTTCAACTCGCACTTGAATTCTTAATAATTTTTTACTCAAGTGTGATTTCTTTTCACATTGGTACACCTCCCCCTCAAGCAAAAACATTTCTTAACCGTGAATACCCAGTAGTGACCTTACTTGTACCGTTGTTTAACTTAACGAGACTCACTTGCTTGAAATACTTATCAAAAACACTTTCGACACAAGGATCTTTCACTACTCTAATCATTCTCAACTGAGTCGGTCAGTAGACGAACTAGACTCCTATACCACTCTTATAGGGAAAACAACACAACAACACAAAATAGCAAAGTATGCCATGAAAATAATTTTCCTAAACTTATAAGAATCTGTGAGGAGAAACAACAATAGAAAATAACAATAGGAACACCAATATTTTGAGCGTGAAAAACCTCTCAATATGAGAAATAAAAACCCACGGGCATAAGTTAGTCAATCAAGTTCCACTAAAATAAAAAAATATGAGTACAAAAGAGTCAAATCAAAATGTATAAATAAGTGTATACAAGTAGTCAATATATCAACAATGCGAGACTAATATCTCTAATCACATATTTTTAATTGACGATCTCAACGGTCAAAACAAATAAACTGTAATACTTTCTTAATGTAGTGCTCCTGTGATAACAAAATCTTCTTTTCACTTTTATCATGTGAGATACTTATCCCAATAATATTTTTAGCAGCTCCCATGTTTTTCATGATAAATGAATTGCCCAATTACTTCTTTAACCTGTCAATTGTGAAAATATTTTTCCTAATAATAAGTATGTCATCAACATATAACAACATCCTAAACTATAAAATCTAAACTTAATAAAGGTAAATTAGAAATAAATAATGTTATGTATTATAAAGAATGATGTAGAATATCAAGAGAAAGATATAACAAAAAGAAAAAATAACTTTGTATATGTAAAATTGGTTGAAGAGATTGAAAAAACTAGAATGATTAAAAAGCTTAAGGATATGTAAAGGAGTGAAAAGTAAGAAAAAAAAAATTGTAATGATATGATTAGTTGAAGAGATTGAAAAGACAAAAGATTGAAAAATGAGTATGAAAAAAAGTAAAAAGTGTGAAATATAGAAGAAATGACTTAATATATAATGTGAGAAAGAAAATAAAATACTTTAAAAATAATATTTTAGGGTTTAGGTTTAAATAAAAAGTGAGGTCTGGGATGAGAACAAGGTAGGGATTGCATTACCCATCCTCGTCCTTGCTCCCAAATTTTTAAAGGGGTAAAATCCCAAACTCAATTTTTTATCGTCAAACTCGGGACAAGAATGGATTGGTTCCTATGAGTGCGAATTTAGTTGTCATCCCCACCTCTATGGGTTCCAAGTTCGATATTGTGAGGCTGATGACGATGAATCTCACTAAGAACTTACACAATGACTCCTTCTTCTCTTGTTTGATGTTCTGAAGTCATTGAATCGATTGAACGAGGTTGTCTCATCACGAACCAAGCTCTAAGTCTACTCGCTAAGTTATCGAAAGAAATTATCGATTTATTGGGATCATATTACCATTGAAGGACGACACCTTTAAGTGTAGTAAGGAATATTCTACATTTGATAGAGTCTTTGTCCAAATATACCCCAACATTGGTGATGTATGATCAAATATGCTCATCGGGATTTGTTGTCCCATTATAAGAATTAATGGGAGGTGACATTTAATGTTGAGGGAGAGGTTCATCTAGTGTATTGAATACGAAAGGATGCACATACCTTACATATTGTGTGATTATCCAAGTGAATATAACGAATATATACATTTTTTTTGTCTTTTTTTTAGTCCTCGTGCTCTCTCTTATCACTGTTTGCTGGTGCTCAAAAGGTGAGATTCCACATTGGTTATTGTCTTTGGTTTGTCTTCAAAATGTTTATTTCAATCATAATGAATGACTTTCTTAAGTTGATGATGTAAGACTTTCATTTTTTCTTGGTATTGCTTTCGAGTAACATTTTATAGTTTATTTGCCGCTAGAGTTCTACAATGCATGTCTTAATGTTGTTGATGATAGTGAATGATTTCATTTGTGGTAGAAAAGTGCTAGTTTAGACTATAGATAATAATGTGAAAGGAGTTTTACTTTATCCTATAATGAACGTCAAATGTTCTTACTTAGATTTAGAAGACTAACAAAACTTTGTGAGTATCCTTCGAAGCATTCTAATATATGTAGAAGAGGAGGGTGGAGTCACTCGCAAAAACTCTCGGATGCCTAAGCTAATAATTGAGTAGTAACGAGTAATAAAAGAAACATTACACTTTAAATATATTTGAGTTTAATTACTGAAGAATCACAAATATTTATCTTATTTTATCTGATATCAACTTATTATCTCGATCAAATATAACTCTCTAAGAATCATAAAATATTTATCTTTATTCTAATAGACATGACCTTATGTCCTAGTAGAATATTTCTAGTTAACTAGTTAATTTAATAAAAAAGATTACATATAATTAAAAATATTAAAGATGAAAAATTAATAAAAAATATTTTTAAATACGTTTTCACAATCAAAATATATATAATCAATAAACTTAAAATCTCCTTTTTGTACTTTTATTTTATAATTAAGAAATTATAATTTATAAGCATACAACTCTGAGAAATATATTAATATTTTATGACTAGACATGAACAAATAGTTTAATATAATATTTTAAAAATAATATTATAAGAAATACTCTACCTTTCCAATTAAAATGAAAACAATGTATAAAAAGTTTACACAAATTATAATATATGCGTGTGTGTGATAAGTTACAGGTAAATATCTTAAAAAATATTTAATTGTAAATTATATTCTAACATTTCAAAAATACTTAATCATATTATTTCTTAAGTTTTAATATTTATTTTTTATGACTATGAAGATAAAATAGATATTTAGAATTAATTTGTAATATTTAGTTAGTTAGACCGAAGGATTTGAAAACCTTAAACCCTGAACGGAACACGCAAGAGCATAGTTAGGAACCGTTGCAGAGCGCAAGGCATGTGTACCCTCGCACCCGATATCGTCGCCGTCCGCGGCTACGAACTACGCCTCATTCGTTGCACCCTCAGTCCTTCACCGCCGTCGGATTCTCGCCACGAACGAGAATCCCTGGATGGCCTCATCAACAACCTCTTGAACTACATCGAGCGCGGCAGCTACGTCGAAGCACTCACCTCCGAACCCTCATCCACCGTCTTCCAATTCGGCGGCCATGAATCGCTTCCACTCGACGCCGCCGACCGAATCTACTCCGAGTTGGTCCACCGAGCCGAGTCCTTCATCGCGGACGCCGCCTCCAACGCCGCCGAACAACGTCGCAGGGCCGTAATTGTGATGTGCATCGCCGTTGCCGCATTTCTAGGTTTCACTCAAGCAAACTTCACGGGGTGGAATTTCATTCGCCATTTTCTCTTCTCTTATTATTTTTTTTTTTTTTTGAATTAGAAAATGAAACCGTTTCTACTATAGGCCTCTGAAAGAAGCAGAGCTACCGAAATGTCCACTGAGTTTGGATAGTAGTGATGAATGGGAGAATTGGGCGCGGAATCAGCTTATGTCTGCTGGTTCTGACTTGCTTGGGAAGTTCTCGAATCTTCAGGTACTCGTGTCATGCATTCGCTTAACCACATGGCTCAGCTCAAGTTGATAATTTGTAACGTGTCGTTGCTTTTCTTTTTCTAGTATATAGTTTTTGCCAAGATGTTGCTTATGCGGTTGAAGGATTTATGCGTTGAGATTGGAAGCCTGTCGTGGTGGCTTGCGAGGGTTTTGCTTCTTCAACAGAGAGTTTTGGATGGACGGTCTTCGTCCTTGTCTGATCTCTTGCATGTCTATATGAGTGAGTCTTTGCAGAAATTCGGCACTTCAGAACTAGTTCAGAGTTATTGGGAAGATGGTTTACGAGATGGAGAGAGCTTGGATATTGCCTCCATACTTCATTTAGAGGCTGGCATTATGGAATATAGATATGGACGAGTTGACTCTTGCAGGTTAGTTAATAAGAACACTGAACCGTGAATTGTCCCGATGGTATGCTTCAATATGGTAACCTATCAGAAGGTGATCTTTAATGATGATTGGGTAATCTTTAATGTGCAATTGGAAAAACTATGTTCTTCATGCTGGGAGAACAGCGATATCCCCGAATAAAAATAATTGCATTACTTTGTGATGTTAATTTTGGTAGTTCCTTTACTTTCATGGGGAAAGGGAGTTGGGCAAGTTGTAATTACCTTTTCACGCGTTATGTGTGCTTGCATTGCATAAACTGGTGCATCTTTGTATTCTTACATTTATTTATCTTCAACACAAAGAAATTTCTAGATATAAAGTTGGGTGACATGTTCATCTAGCCTATCTTCCTTCTTTTTTAGTTGGGTTGGGGAACTTGACGAGAGGTTTTTGATTTACAAAAATTCCATCTTGTTTTTACCTTATGTCATGTTTTTTATTGTTTTCGTAGGAAATGATGATAAGTTGTTTTCATAATTTCCCATACAATATTTTTAAACACGGGAAAGGTAATGAAATAAGGTGATCATTTTGTAATTAAAATCAAAACAGGTAATAAATGAAATCAGAAACACTTTATGAAGTCGAACAGCTCCTAAGTATGTTGTAAGGAGGTATTTTTGGAGAATACTATCTATTAGTTGAAACATTTTTTTTTTATTCTCCTGTGGTATCTTTCTATGATGAAGTACACTGCCCTATCAGGATGCATTTTGAGTTAGCTGAGATGGCAGCTGGGCTTCAGCTTTCAGTTACTGGGGTACTCGGTTTCCGTACTTTACATCAGGTAAACATAGTAAACTGCATGATATTTAACATTTGTCATGATACTTATCTTTTAATATGTAACCTTTGGATATAGGCAGAACCAAAGGCACAGATGGTACTTGTTACAAACACAAATACATCAAATGTGGATAACTGTTCCTTAAAGGGTACTGGTATCCAAACACCTGATTCCAACAATGGTGAAGATAACTGGAATTTGCATCAGTGTGAAACCTCTGAAGTATCTGACATACTTAGAATACCAAAGTTGTTAGAGAACGATGACTCTAAAACTAAGCCAGAAGGCATGGAAAATGGTGCCCCTGTTAGTCCAAATTTAACAGCAATACAACAAGCTGTAATTCTGGCATATTGTGTTCTAATAGAGAAGAGCTCTCGACATGATGAATTGCAGCGTAGGTTACCTAAATTTATACATTCATATATGTCTAGCATTTGTATACTCACAAATATGAATCCCCCCTTTTTTTTTTATTTATCAATCTTCCAATTTTCAATCTATTTCTGCTATGTCAATATGTATTTTGGTTGACCTTGACGTAACTACTTTTCTTCAAGGTGACTTATGTAATTGTGCAATTGTATCCAATTTCTTTTGCTAATTTTGTTCATACTGGTGTGTTTGTGTCGTGGTATCATTGTATTTTCCCAAGAATCATGTTCCTTGGAATGTTATACCTAGGAATAATGTTCCTATCAAAATGTTTGGTTCATATTTAATAATTTTAAAAAGAATTAAATTTTATTTAATTTTAGAATTAAAAATAAAAAGGAAAAAGAATCTTAGTCGGGAAAATTAGATTAAATGAAATATGATTTTATTATTTTTCATACAAAGAGATCATACAAGATATATACAGGAGACCTAAGTTATTTTAGGAAATATAATAACTCTATTTTATTCTAGGATCCCTTGATTTATAGGATTGTTCCTAATTGTTCAAATTTGTACAAATTACAAGGAAATATACAAATTTTCTAATTTATTCTTTCTTAAAATACTATTTGATTTCCCACACTCCCCCTCAAGCTGGTAAATAGGTGTTTTCCATTCCCAGCTTGGATACAATTTTCTCAAAATTGTGGCAGCCCAGTCCCTTGGTAAAAATGTCTGCAATTTGGTCTTTAGAGGACACATATGGAGTGCATATCAAGCCATTATCAAGCTTTTCTTTGATGAAGTGTCTGTCTACTTCAATATGCTTTGTTCTATCATACTGCACTGGGTTGTGGGCTATGCTGATTGCTGACTTATTATCACAATAGAGTTTCATAGGTTCTTCCCATTTTATCCTCAAGTCTTCTAAGATGATTTTAAGCCATAGCAACTCACATATACCTTGTGCCATGGTTTGGAATTCCGCTTCAGCACTGGACCGAGCCATTATACCCTGTTTTTTGCTTCTCCAAGTCACAAGATTTCCTCCAAGAAAGGTGCAACATCCTGTAGTTGACCTCCTATCCATAATTGACCCTGCATAATCAACATCAGTATAGGCTTCAAACTTCACATTATCATTCCTTTTGAATAGAATCCCTCTTCCTGGAGTTTCTTTAAGGTACTGTAAAATTTTGTGGGCAACTTGTAAATGGGTCTCCTTTGGGCTATGCATAAATTGACTAATTAAACTCACTGCATAGGCAATATCTGGCCTGGTATGCGACAAATATATAAGTCTACCTACTAATCGCTGGTACATATCTTTTTCAACAGCAACATCTGGGGTACTAGCAGACTACCTTGAGCAAATCAGTGATGTATTTCTGCTGGGATATAAATATCCCTTTCTTGGAGTGGGCAACTTCAATTCCCAAAAAATATTTTAGTTTTCCCAAGGTTTTGATCTTAAATTCCTTGCCTAAGCATTGACTCAACAATTGGTGCTCTTCTTTATTATCTTCAGTTAATATTATGTCATCCACATACACCAATAATATTGTTACTCCCCCTAACTTGGAATGCTTAAAGAACAAAGTATGGTCTCCTTGGCTTTGTTTGTAACCCATACCTGTCATAACTTTAGTAAACCTGCCAAACCATGCAGGGGGGACTGTTTTAGCTCATATAATGCCTTTTTCAACTTGCAAATAGTGTTGGCAGCAACATCTCTACCATATCCCAGAGGTATCTCCATATAAATTTTTTCTTCAAGGTCTCCATGTAGGAAAACATTCTTAACATCAAATTGTTCCAAGTTCCAACTATAATTGGCAACAAGGGACAATATCACCCTAACTGTGTTCATTTTGGCAACCGGAGCAAAGGTCTCCAAATAATCAACTCCATAGGTTTGGGTGAACCCTTTGGTAACTAGTCTTGCCTTATATCTCTCAATTGATCTATCAACCTTGTATTTCACTGTATAGACCCACTTACATCCAACTTGTCTCTTTCCTATTGGTAAGGTGACTAACTTCCAGGTGTTATTCTTCTCCAATGCCTCCATCTCTACATCTATGGCTTGTCTCCATTTTCTGTCAGACAATGCCTTAGATAGGGTATTAGGTAGAAGTGTAGTGTTTAGGTTTACTAGGAAGGTTTTATGGATAGGAGAGAAATTTATAAAGGACAGGTAATTTGAGAGAGGGTAGAGTGGCTGTTTGGTGCATTTTCTTGTCCCTTTTCTAATGGCAATTGGGAGGTCAAGATCATTTTGGGTTTGAACTTCAACCTGCACAGCTGGAGAAAAAATTGTTACCTCTTTTTATGGAGTCGAGTTGGATTCTTGAACATGGCTTGATCCTGGAATGACCTTCGTCTTCCTTGAGTACACTAGCTTCTTACCAAATTTTCTAGCTTCAACACAGCTGGTCAAGGAAATATCCAAATCAATCATTTAATAACCTTAAAAGATGCTCTCCATATCCCAAAGTTGTCCATCAACCTAGTTTCTATACAAAAACTTATAAAGGATTTGTCATGTAAAGTTATTTTTTTCAAAGATCATTGTGTATTTCAGGACAAAGATTCGAGGAGAATGATTGGACATGCTAGAGAATGGAATGGCCTTTATTATCTTGAAGATTCAAGTTTGTCCAACAAGAACAGAATTTATCACTCCTTCATATCTGAATCCTTGATGACCAACAGATAACAAATCATGTTTTATCATTGTTGGTTGGGACATCCCTCTTTTGGAGTGATCAAAATTATGTTTCCTTCTTTGTTTACCAAGTTAGATGTTGAGAGTCTTCATTGTGAGGTGTGTGAACTTGCTAAGCACAAGCGTGTATCTTTTCCAAAAAGTAATAAAATTAGCAATTTCCCTTTTTATCTTGTTCATACTGATGCATGGAGACCTTCTAATGTTCCAAATGTGTCTGGTGCTCGATGGTTTGTCACCTTTATAGATGATTGTACAAGAGTCACTTAGGTTTTCGTACTTAAACAAAAATCAGAAGTCAGTTTTGTCTTCCTAAACTTCCACTCATTGATAAAAAAGCAGTTTGGTGTTAATACTAAGAGGCTTAGGTCAGATAATGCCATAAATTACTTCAATCATGTCCTTAATTCTTTTTGTCAAAAAGAAGGTATAATTCATGAGTCCTCTTGTGTCAAAACACCACAGCAGAATGGGGTCGCAGAGAGGAAAAATGGACATCTATTAAATCAGACTCGGGTATTGTTGTTCCAATAAAGTCTTCAAAAAATTTCTGGGGGGAAGTTGTCCTTACAGCAACACACCTTATCAATAGACTACCCTATAGAGTCTTAGGATTAAAAAGCCCTATGGAAGCTTTGTCATCTTTCTATCCAAACCTGTCTACTACAAATAATCTTAAACCAAGAGTTTTTGGGTGCATCTCATATGTCCATATTCATAGTACAAACAGGAGGAAACTTGATCCTAGAGCCTTAAAGTGTGTCTTTGTTGGTTACTCATCCACTTAGAAAGGGTATAAATGCTACCACCCCCCATCCAAAAAATTATTTTGTATCTAGGGATGTTACTTTCAATGAACAAGAGGGCTATTTCCATCACCTTATCTTCAGGGAGAGAGTTTCAGGGAAGATAAGGAAAGTAGTAATTATGGTTTTCCCATTCTTCCAGACTTGATATTTGAACCTAAACGAGATCAAACTGAAGCTGTAACAAGTGAGACAAGTCAAGGAAGTGAAGTTGATCTAAAAGAAAGTGGAAACTTACCTGGGTATGTCAAAGAACACACACTTGTAGTTTTTTTTCAGCTTACTAAGAAATGTTCTCACCCTTTCTATCTCCTCTTGGTTAAGATGGATAACAACTTCTGGATTATTTCCTTCATTTGTTTCAGCAGCAACATAAACTTGTCTTCCTTTCCTTGACATTATAGCAAGAAGGTGCGATATAGCGAGCAATGCAGTCAGTCGTCTTAGGGTTTATAATGCGCAGACGAGCTTCCTAGATCGGAAGCTCGATACTATTTGGAAAATTAGATTAAATAAAATTTGATTTTATTATTTTTCATACAAAGAGATCATACAAGATATATACAGGAAATCTAAGCTATTTAGGAAATATAATAACTTTATTTTATTATAGGATTCCTTGATTTATGAAATTGTTCCTAATTGTTCAAATCTGTACAAATTACAAAGAAATATACAATTTCCTAATTTATTGGAATGAAGATATCATGGATATATTTTCATAATCATCTAAAAAACGTAGAAATATAATTTCCCATCTTCACATCCCGGGAATGAAAACAGATGTGAAATAAATACCCCTTTAGTTTTAGGATTCAATCACTTATGGGTGTATTTCCATTTCTCCTCTCCTTTTACTTAGAGCTAAGCTAATTACATTTAGTTTTGTATTCTAAAATCCACTTGTTTTCCTGGAAAGAGGATAAAATAAAATGTTTATGAGCCACCTAATAGTTCACCCAATTGATGGCTTGTCACTTGGTTTCAGGATGGGATATGGCACCTTACATCGAGGCAATTGATTCCCAGCATTTGTTTTACTTCACTGTAAGTAGAGTAAATCTGTAGCTTATATATGTTTAAACGTTAGGCTTTTCTGTATGGCAACTTTGTTGGTGCACAAGGTGTTTATTTTCCTTAGTGTTCTGCTTAATCTGTATAGTTTGTAGACCATTGCAAGCATTTGATATTTTCCTCTTTCATGCTTTAGATACGATGTTTATGTGATAATTTACGAATTCGGTGGGAGTCATCTCGTAGCCGAACCAAGGAACGTGCCTTAATGATGATGGATAACTTGGTATGTGCTATATTTTGGTTAGCATGTTAACTTTGGAATTATAAAAGTATATTGCTTGACTCTTTATTTTCCTATATGTCTATTGCAATGAAAGGCTGTCATATTTTTGTGACAAAAATACATATAAGTTATTAAATAACCAGTAACTAAGAATTGACGACCTCCAAATTTTAAGCATAAATCAACAAAATGTTGTCAAGAAGTTGATGGTGTGCTAGGACAACTATATTACTGGATCTTCCCATGGAAATTCACCATGAAAGAATTAGAAGTGGAAAAATAAATACTCTTTTTCGACATCAAGATGTAAAATAAAATTAATATTACCAAATTGAGTATGAAATATGATTCATAAGTTTTGAACAATAGCTAACAATTCAAAATGATTTTCTTTGAAAATAACATTACACATAATGATAAAACATAAATGAAGTTACAAAATATTTATAACCCTAGAATTGACATGACTTGGGCCCAAATATTTGAATGATCAATTCCAATAGCGAATTCTAAACCAACAAGTGACCTTCGGATTTTGGACTTATTTGAGAACCAATCTGTGGGCCTCTTCATGAGGGGACTCATGGCAAGCAATCAATGATAGGGTCATGAACATCTTTTCATGTGGAATCAGTAATGATGGAGTCCAGGAATTAGAATCGGCTAATTTTGTGCTAACAACTGCAGTAAGGGCACAGGAATGGAGGTCCTAGAACTAAAACTTGAAGAAAACTGCTTTGACAATCTTGAAAAGTTTAAGAGACTTGCTAGATTTGTGAAATTGTGGAGTAAACTTTACTTTACAGATGCCTAGAATATACATACATCAAAGAATTGATTAAATGTGATATTTACAAAAATAATAAATAGCAAGAAAAACATCTTTGGTTAGAGAATGATAAATCTGAAAACTAGACAAATCTAAACCAAATCAAACTGGGAAATTCGGATTGGTTGGGTTAAATTGAAAGAATTGCAAGTTTGATCAATTTGGATCAGATCTTGATTTTGAAAACCCAGAACAATCTAATCAACACAATTACATAGTATCTTTTGTTTTTATTGATCTTTAGGGTATGTTTGATACAGGAAATTTTCAGTTTAAGTTAAAATTTACAGCAGTAAAAATATTACGTTACTTTTATTAGATCATATATATATCATGGTAAATAATTAAAGCTTTTGGTAAAAAATACTAAGTTTTTCTTTGATGTCAAGAAATTGATATAAATATTCCCAAGAATTTTTATGGTTAACAAAACAAATTCTAATCATTCCTTGGAATCATGATTCCCTGTCATGAAAAAGTTTTTCTTTGGAGTTTCGAGCTTTATAGCCCAGTTATTAGATTTTATTCATCATAATCTCACTTTATTCACACTTAATAATTGTTAAGGTTCTAACATAAAACCAATGGACAATAGGTAGAGTAGTCTAGCAATTATTTAAACCATATTACATAACATGAGATATGCGATGTGAGATTCCCAACATGCCTCCAACGAAACCTTAGGACTAGACAAAGGGTACTTTTGACCCACAACTAAAGGGTAACTTTTGGCCAAGACAATAATAAGAAAAAAGTTAGGTTTTGGCTCTGATACCATGTTAAGGTTCCAACATAGAACCACTTGACAATATGTGGAGTAGCCTATAAGGTATTTAAACCATACCACATAATATAAGGCAGGCCATACGAGACTTCCAACAATGAAAAATTAATTAATTTGTTTTTTTAATTATTAGTTTCATAATAAATCTGATTACTTTATCTGAATGAACAAAGTTGATCATAGTCAGATTTGTTTGGTTCAAGTTGGGTGACTTGAACTAGGAAAATCAAGTCCTAGAATACTAGGGACTGTAAAATCAAGAGTGACCTGAAAACCCTATTTAAATTCTATATTTCGTCCTAAAGCTACAACAACTATTGTTTTTTTCTTGTTTGTTCTATGATATAGGATTTAAGTAGGAAAGAGAAGAAACAGAAAGACAAGAAGAAAAAAACAGAGGGTAGAGAGAGATGAGATACAGAGAGATTAGAGAACTGTTTGCTGCATTTCTTTATTTGTTCATTCTGTCTAAAATATACAACAACCATGCTTTATAGGCAGCTACCCAACAACTATAAAATACTACTAGCAGTAGCTGATTGACAATCTGGCAATATTTTGCTATTTATATTTATATAACATCCTACTACATATTCCATTCATTTAGGGTGTGTTTGGATAAACAACTTAATTAAGCACTTACTCAATAAACTCTTGCACAAATTCTTCACATGAGAGCTTATTATATAAATTTGACGGTTTTCATAAACCAAATAAGCTCCACATAAGCTCTTCTAAATGTCTCAATCCTTTCTTATGCATGAATGTTTTCAATTTGAAAGAGACTAATGCATAACTTGTATAACATTTACACCTAAGAAGCACCTTCTAAAGATTCAATAAGGTTAATTATGTCTAATATTATATATTAAATATATTACTTCATAGTTTTTGATATCCTTCTACATTTAAACTTTTTTTTAATCAAGCTATGATGAGTGACTTGTTTGTTTTGATTTGCTTATTGTACTTGTTAAAATTATAATACATTTTTTGCAGGTTAAACATATTTATGAATCGTCTCCATCGATAGCAGAAAGAATTGCTTTCAGTTATGCTGTTTATATGCCTAGTATTCCTGCACTAAGGAAGTAAAAACACCTGCTTTGTAAGCCTTTTATATGTTTTTGCTTCATTAAAATCAGATGGCTCTTTAACTTTCTTATTACTTTCTTGATATTCCAATTTCAGGGAATATGCATTACTTTTGGTGCGATGCGGTTTGATAGGGGAGGCAATGAAGGAATTTGAAGATTTAGAATTATGGGATAATCTTATATATTGCTACAGGTATAATAAAAGTAAAATGAATAAAGCAGTGATTTTCTCCCCCCCTCACTATTCACCTTTCATTAGCAACGATGTTCATTTGATATTTGATTTGGAAAATAGTCTGTTGGAGAAGAAAGCAAGTGCTGTTGAACTTATCAGAAAACGTCTCTCAGAAAAACCAAATGATCCCAGATTATGGTATGTTGCTTTGGCTTGCTTATCTTGTATGTGTTGAGACATGTTGTTTTTCTATCTTTTTGTATTCTCTCTGTATGTTCCTTAGACTAGGGTTAAAGGTTTGGGTTGAGGTCCATATCCTCTCTGTTGTATCTCCTTTATCTATAAATACAATGTATAAGTGCCTTTAGACATTGTATTGAAACCCTAAATAAGTTTCTCAAATTGGTATTAGAGCGGATATGATTGATTTTCGGTCATCACTATCATCTCCAGCCACCATGCGCCGCTGTTCGCTGCTGACCACTGTCTTAGTTTGGTCAGGTGTACATAGGGTTTGGTGCACCTTGAACAACGAGACCCACCCCCCACCAATTGCTCTTTCATCTGCATGTGTCGCACGTGCCGCCCTCCAGTGGCCTGAATGAAGGTCAATTACCACCGGCACCCTCTGAGTCTAGTAGTGCCCTTATTTTTCTGTTTTGAGAACTTTGGAAGTTAGGTCACATGGGTACCCTATTGGTTAGACTTGATATTCAAAGACTGAGAAAAAGTGTTTTTAGAGGGCTTGAAGAACCCCTCTCATAGTTCTGTATTTATATAGATAAAAACTGATACAATAGGGGGATTACATTAAATGCACAGTCCTAGATTACTCCTCAGAACTAGGTGCAGAGATTATCTAACACTCAACCCCCTGCAGAGATTATCTAACACTCAACCTCCTACCTTAGGTATAATGATTACATATATTTTCTAATCTATTCCAACACTCCCCCTCAAGCTGGAGCATACAAGTTGTATGTACCAAGCTTGGAACAAATGAACTCAATCCGAGGTCCCCTTAAGGACTTGGTAAACACATCTGCGAGTTGGTCATTTGATCCAACAAACTCGGTACATATTTCTTTTGTCAACAACTTTTCACGAACAAAGTGACAATCAATTTCTATATGTTTAGTTCTCTCGTGAAATACGGGATTTGATGCAATGTGGAGTGCAGCTTGATTATCACAATACATCTTCATAGTCTGGATATCACAGAAGTTAAGCTCTTGAATGAACTGCTTTACCCATATAAGTTCACAAGTTAGTGACGCCATTGCCCTATATTCGGCTTCAGCTGTCGATCGAGCCACTACATTCTGTTTCTTACTTTTCCATGAAATAATGTTTCCTCCAAGGAAGACACAATATCCAGTGGTAGACCGTCTATCAACAGGTGAACCTGCCCAATCTGCATCACAGTACCCAGTGACCTGAATGCTTCCTTTATCTTCATATAACAATCCTTGTCCGGGAGCCTTTTTAAGGTACCTTAGAATGCGAATGATAGCATTCCAATGACCAGCACATGGAGTCTGCATGAACTGACTAACCACTCCAACAGCAAAAGATAGATCAGGCCTTGTAATAGTGAGATAAATCAGTTTTCCGACCAGCCTCCTATATCTCTCTGGATCAGAGAATACTTCACCTTCTTCTGTTGTTAATTTCTTATTTGGGTCCATAGGACTCTCTACAGGTTTACAGTCAATCATACCTGTTTCTTGTAATATATCAAGAGCATATTTTCTCTGAGAGATTACAACTCCATCTTTTGATTGAGCTACTTCAATGCCCAAGAAGTATTTTAGGCTTCCCAAATCCTTGGTTTGAAAATGTCTGCACAAGTACTCCTTCAGTTGAGATATTCCAATAGTATCATTTCCTGTAATGACTATATCATCAACATATACTATTAAGTAAACACATTTACCCAGAGATGTATGACAATAAAAGACTGAATGATCTGCTTCACTGCGTCTTAGCCCAAATTTTTGAACAATGGAGCTAAATTTTCCAAACCAAGCACGTGGTGATTGCTTGAGGCCATATAGAGAACGATGCAATTTGCATACTAGTTCGAGACTCCCCCGAGCAACAAACCCAGGAGGTTGCTCCATGTAAATTTCGTCCTCAAGATCACCATGTAGGAAGGCATTTTTGATATCTAATTGATGAAGTGGCCGGTGACGAATGGCGACCATTGCGAAGAACAGACGAATAGTGGTCATCTTGGCCACGGAGAGAAAGTGTCACAATAATCAAGGCCATAAACCCGAGTGTACCCTTTTGCAACTAACCGAGCCTTGAGCCGATCAACTGCACCATCGGGGCCGATTTTAACAAGATATACCCAGCGGCAACCAACCGCCTTTTGCCCGGTGGAAGGGGAACGAGCTCCCAAGTAGCATTATGGTCAAGAGCCCGCATTTCGCAATCATGGCTTGTCGCCATCCGGGGTGATCAAGTGCTTCTTCCACATTTCTCGGAATAGCAATAGAAGATACCGAGGATAAAAGGGAACAATAGGAAGGCGACAACCGGTGATAGCTAAGAAAATTATAAATAGGATGTGGGTTTCGAGTGGAACGAGTACCTTTTCTCGGAGCAATGGGCCATCCCGAATCACCTCCACCAGGAGTCATGGTAGGAAGCGATGTTGGAGAAGAATCTAAAGTGGGGGATTCACCCTCGTCTTGGAGAACGAGGACTAGCCATCGGGGTCCTATGATTGACAACATCAATTTGAGGGGAGGATGGTTCGGGAAGACTTGGATCACTACGGAGATCGATAGAGACATTGGAAATATTAGACTCAACTACTTGGAATGGGAAGAACTCTGTCGTATGACATGAACATCTTGAACAGAAGGAGAAAAGTAAGGAGTCTGTTCAAAAAATGTAACATTGGCGGACATGTAGTACTTCTTGGTTTCGGGAGAGTAACACCGATACCCTTTTTGAAGGCGGGAATAGCCCAAGAAGACACATTTGATAGCACGAGCGGAAAGCTTGTCTAACCCGGGAGACATATCATGAATAAAACATACACAACCAAAAACTCGAGGAGATGTGTGAAAGAGAGGATTATTTGGAAATAGAATGGAGAAAGGGATCTTATTACCGAGAGAGGAAGATGGCATCCTGTTAATAAGAAAACATGCGGTTAAGATGGCATCCCCCGAGTGATGGACAGGAATATGAGCACCCGAGCAAAGAGTACGTGCGGTTTCAACCAAATGTCTATTTTTTCTTTACTGCTATACCATTTTGTTGTGGTGTATGAGGACAGGTGGACTGATGCAATATTCCATGTGAACTCAAAATAGTAAAAAAGGTGGATGAGAAGTACTCTTTAGCATTGTCGCTTCTTAAAATTTTGATTACTTGACTGAATTGATTCTTGATTTCATTCAAAAAGGATGTAAAGATGGGTAACAATTCAGAGCGATCTTTCATAAGATAAACCCAAGTACATCGTGAATATTCATCAATGAATGTAACAAAATACCGAAAACCAAAAGATGAGATGCGACTGGGTCCCCAAATATCAGAATGGATAATAGAGAAACTGGAAGTACACTGTGATTGAGACCGTTTAGGAAAGGTAGATCTAACATGTTTCCCTAGCTGACATGACTCACATTCTAAGGTCTGGAGACCACTAAGTTCAGGACACATTCTTTTTAATTTTGACAAATGAGGATGGCCAAGCCGATCATGTAACATTTTAGGGCTCGGAGTAGCAACACAGGACACACGTGGACGAGGACCAAAAAGGTATAATCCTCCGGCTTCATATCCTTCTCCAATCTGTCTCCCCGAACCACGCTCCTGTATAACAAAAGATTTGTTATCGAAGGTTATTGAACAATTTAAGGTTTTGGTTAACTGACTTAAGGAAATCAAATTGAAAGGACAATTAGGAATAAAAAGGACAGATTTTAGGCTTATGGAAGGAGATAAAGAAACTTGGCCCACTCCCTTTGAGGAAGCTTTAGAGCCATCTCGCAAGGGTTATGAAATGTTGTTTTTCTTGAAAGGAAATGGTTGAGAACAAGGAGGTATTACCGGATATATGATCGAAGCACCGAGTCAATTACCCATGAATTTTGACCCTCCACAGATTGAGAAATGCAAGCGGTTGATGTCTTGGCAGTTTGAGAGGTATGTGCCAAGCTATTAGACTTTAACCGTAGATACTCTTGGTATTCGTCCTTAGTGAACTTGGAGTTGACGGTTTCGGCCTTGGAGACATTGGCGGTTTTGGGAGGAAAACCATGCAAGGAGTAGCGAGTTCTCCCGTGTATGACCCATCCTCTTACGAGTAGGGGCATTGGGGACGTCCTCGACCTCCACGTCCTCCTCCGGTGCCACGTCCTCCTCTTCCTCGTGTGGCAACCATGGCGGATGGTTCTACTAGAGCCGAGCTTCCGAGTCTCGGACATTGGTACACGAATCGGACGTGTGATAAGGGTATCCATGGAAGGGACTTCATAAGTGGTCGGAAGTTGATCTCCGATATGGTTAAAGTCGGGATGTATTGCGCGAAGGATCATCACCATGTAATACTTGTCAAGCTTCTTTTTCATTTCATCTAAGGAATCGACTTCCAAGAACATCTTGAGTTCTTCCACGGTCGATCGGGCGTCATTCATAAAGGACACCATATCATGATCTGTCATTTTTAGAGATGCCGGCTTATTTGCGGAATCGTAGAGACGTTGAATATCATTGGCATAAATGGTTTGAGCTTTCTTCCAAAAGGAGTGACAAGTTTTGAAGGCTCTAAGCGACATCAAAAGTCTTGGTTCCACCGATTGCCACAATAGAGCACATAGCCGAAAATCTGCTCGTTTCCACTGTTCGGCTTTTTCTTCGGCACATGGCTTCAGTCTTTTTCAAGGTGGTCGTGATGCCCCTGACCGAGAAACCACATTTCGACGGTAGCGGACCAAGATAGATAATTTTGTTCGTTTAGTTTTTCGGAAGTAATGGAGGGGCTTCCGGAGAATGAAATTGCAGCCATTTATGATCAAGAGGACAAAGACCGAGTGAGGAGGGGGCGAAAAACGAGCAAGAAGTCCGAAAGCCCAAGAGTGATTTTCGCAAGGGTGACTACTGGACTTCACCGAAATAAAGAGGCGGCGCGTGGCGGAGAACGAGCTTCCGGGACCGACGGGGTTGGCTGTCGC